CCGGCGGGGCTCACCCCCAGGTCCTCCCGCAGGCTGCAGTACTGATCCCGCACCGAGAAGCCCCTCCGGTCCGCCAGTTCCACCCGCGGTTCCCCGGGGAAGCGGGAGACGAAACGCCGCAACACGGCGCCCTCGAAATCGGCCAGGACCCCGTCCATATCCACCAGCACCCGCAGCGGAACGGCCGCCCCGGCCATGGCCACCGGCAACCGCCGCGGAACGGCCGCCCCGGCCCCGGCCCCACCGGTAACCGCCGCGGAACGGCCGCCCCGTCCCCACCGGTAGTGGGGCGGGACCTCCCCGCCCGTGCCCATCCCCGCTCCCGGCGGGGGAATCCGCTCGCCCGACAACCGGCGGGGCTCCTCCGGGAACCGAGAGCGGTTCCGGGCTGCTTTTCGATGAGGAGCAGCTGGCGTGTCCCCACCGAGGGAAAGAGAAGGGAAAAAGGCTGGGCCAAAATCTCAGCGCCCACAAAGGAGCATCAACAAGTTCCAGCGGTTGTGGGGCTTGCGAAGGAAACGTAATTGGATTATTTTCCTCCTCCAGGTGTGATTTATGTGCAGCCGGGAGCCATAACGCGCTACCTATGGGCTGTAAGGAACGGCAGCTCTGGATGTGGGGCCAGAGGAGGCCACAAAGATGGTCCGAGGGCTGGAGCCCCGTGCAGCCCGGAGCCATAACGTGCTACCTATGGGCTGTAAGGAATGGCAGCTCTGGATGTGGGGCCAGAGGAGGCCACAAAGATGGTCCGAGGGCTGGAGCCCCTCTGCTGTGAGGACAGGCTGAGAGTTTGGGGGTTCAGCCTGGGGAAGGCTCTGGGGAGACCTTAGAGCCCCTTCCAGTCCCTAAAGGGGCTCTGGGAAAGCTGGGGAGGGACTCCTGTTCAGGGTCAGTTTTTAAGTGAGAGGGGAGATTTAGATTAGATACTAGATAGAAAGTATTAGATACTAGGAAGAAAATCTTTGCTGTGAAGGTGGTGAGACACTGGCCCAGGTTGCCCAGAGAAGCTGTGGCTGCCCCATCCCTGGAGGGGTTCAAGGCCAGGTTGGATGGGACTTTGAGCAACCTGCACTGGTGGGAGGTGTCCCTGCCCAGGTGTCCCTGGGTGATCTTTAAGGTCCCTTCCATTCTGTGATTCTGTGTAGGAGAGGAGCACGTTAGAGCAAATCCAGTTTGATAGGTTAAGCACCTAAGGCTAGGTCTTCTCCAAAACCAACTTGGAAAGCCAGGGTAGTCTTAGGCACTGGTTCTTCCAGGAGGAGGGTGGAAAAGGCACATTCTCTGCAGCAGACACACCAGTTCTGCACAAACCCGCTGCTTCAGCTTATCGTGCTGCAGATCCCCTCTGGGATCTGTAGAGAACTTCATGGTTTGGTCTCCCTTCCACCCCCTCTTCCCTTGTCAGGTTCTCTTGTTTTTTTTATTTGTGAGGAGAATAAACTTTCATTTCCTCCATTTTCTTGAAAGAAGAAAGTATTCTGGATAAACTCATGTGTATCAAGCCATATTCCATGCTTCTCTGATCTAAATGATAACAATTGAAGAGGTAAACCAGACTTTCTTCAGGGGAAGACGGCATGTGATGGGTGACCTCAAGGTATAACTCTCCTCCTCTGCTGCATATTAGAGTAGGGCAGGTTGGTTGAGACAAGGACAACTGAGAACACAAAGCAAAACCAAACCTATGAAATAAAACCCACACAGGAAACACTGCTTCAAAATTTCTATATTATTTACTTTTAAGCAACAGTCCAGCTTTGTGAAATTACAACACACACTTTAAAGGATGAGATTTTCACCTCATGGTCAAGCACCAGCATGATCATGCACAGCATTGAGTCAGTTGTAAAAAAAATGCCCTGTAATTTTTATTTATTTATACGATCCACTCCACCTTCACTGAATAAAGTCTGAAGAAATCCCCTCCTAGCATTAGGCCAGGCGGCTCTGGTCATCAGCCCTCTATTTGGCACATACCCTGCTTCATAGTAGTCCACTACCAAGATTCTTATTTATTTATTTTTTTTTTAAAGGCAGCATGGTGTACACTAACCACTTTAGGATTTATATGGCACAGCAGGGCTCAAGGCATTTACCACATGCAGTCAATGAAGCCTTTTAGATGCCCAAATCCCACACGTGGAGGAAGGGACTGCTCTTGCTGATTGTTTGCTGGCCCGTTTAACCAGGATTCTAGACCCTTGTAAAGCTAAGGGGTTCTAAAAAAACCAAAAAAAATCTCAGTACAAAAACCCTCTAAGCACACTTAGAACCAATCTACTCTCCTTTGAATTACATTACTATACTTCATAAAGCTTTCCCTCAAGTCTATCACTAGAAAACACTCATGTCACTTCCAGTAGATCTGGGGGAAACACAGGACAGAAGTGGGGGAAAAAACCCTTGATCTCAAGAAAAAAAAATTAAATGATGGAGTACATAAAGTGCTTCTTTTTAATGAAAGAAATTCGAGATGTACAGTCAGGCTCAAGTTGTGCAGTTCACAAGCATGGGGGAAAGAAACAGACACGAGTTCAAAACAGTCAGGAAGGGAAAGGTTTAACCGAGGACTAGGCTGGACTTGCCACCGGGTGGATTTCTCCTGGACGGTGCGGGTGCTGGTGCTACTGGGCTAGGAACAGGTGCAGCAGGCAGGGATTTCTCTTCATTCTGACCTGGGGCAGCTTCTACATCAGCCTCAGTGTTTTCTAGAAGAAAAGAAGCTTTTAAAGTGTTTGATGTGGATGCTGAAAGCTAGATGTTTCGCTGGCTTAGAGAGAAGATCAGCTCCTCTGCGTCTTCCCCAGGGTCACAGCCACACTCAGTGCCGCTGTGACCTGCTGCCAGGACCCACTTCAGCCCTCGGAAGTGTTTTTCAGATGAACTCCCATGCCTTATGGCTCAGTTTCAGCCATTCAGGAGCCACATTCACTCAGCTGCTGTTAGGAGACCCCAGCAATTTATTTTATTTTATTTTTTTAAATGACAAGCAGCTTAAGTCTTGTACATATGTCACAACGTAGGACTGTGACAATTGTAACTCAAGTCTGAGCAGGTGCTGGAAACCAAGTCACAGAAGCACCAGTACTCGTAAGCAAGAGCTCAGATCCAAACTCCATTCCCAATTTCATAACTAGTGGGAAGAGGATCTGACACACACTTCTGAGGCTGCGCAAGGGACAGGGAACAGCCATGCATGGGTAGGCTCCAATCGTACATTCCCTGGAAAGCACACGATAGTTTCATCTATTTTAAGTACTTCTGAACGACAACAAGTGAAGACAGGACACAGAAGGAATTCTTCACAGGAAGCACTTTAGATACTGTAGCAAATAACTAATGTATCTGCTTCATCGACAATTAATTTATGAGCACAGCAAGTACATTAGCACCTCATGTTTTTATAGATCAGCACAATCAGTTAAGAGCCAAAGGCCTAAATAGGCACCAAATTGCCCACTGATACTCGGTGGGGTGAGGGGAGTGGAGCTTCACTGCCAGTTCTGTGGAGATGTGCTTCATCTGTTTTTAACAGACCCCTTAGTTTTATCTAATGAGCAGTAGTTCTTGCTTTAGAGGAGTGGGGGAACATCTGTGCATTCACCTTAAACCTCCACCTTCACGATTTTTAGTTAAGTCTTGGTTGTATTCCCTCTCCCCCAGCCTTGTCTTCAACTGAAGGGACACAGCTATTTTAGTCTCTCCTCATAAGGCAGCTGTGGCACCTCCTTACCTTTCCCATTACCTTCCTCTGCCCTTGTTTACCACAACTACAATCTTCTGGTCTTTCCATTTCAAGGACTGTATACACCATTCAAGATGTGGGCATATCATTGTTTACAGAGGCAAAACAATGTTGTTTCCCATTCTCTTCCTGATGATATTCAACATTTTGCTGGCGCCTTCAAACATCTCGGAGAACTTTCAGTAATAAGACTGAAGGCAGACCCTGACTGGCATGGCTTAGGTGTCAGGTTTGGGATTTTTTTCCCCCTAGATGCATTACTTTATACTTATTTATGCAAAGAATATCTTGCCACCTTTTTACCTGTCTACCTTATTTAGTTGAGTCCTCCTGACAGTGAGATTTTCTCACCATCAGCACAATTTGACTACCTGAAAGAGCTAATACCACCAACAAAATTGGAGACTTCACTGTTCATTACCTTTCCCAGGTCACGGATGAAGGCATTGAATAAAACTAACCCCAGCGTCACTTCCCATGGCTCATTTTTCCAACCTGGAAAGCAATCACTAAACCCTACCCTTTGCCCCCCATTCTTTATCTATCTATCTATCGAAGCAGCTTTCCTCCAGTGCTGTGGGAACTGTTTATTTTTAAAAAAAAATATATCTTTGATGCAGAATTTGATAAGCAACACTGAAAACCCACTCATGTCCATTGAACCCCCTGAATTGATGCTTGTAATAATCTAAAAGAACTCCAGCAGCTCTGTCAAGTCTCCATGCAATCAGAAATAATCTACAATGTAGAGTCTCTGCTGTATTCGTTAACCCACAGGCACATCTGAGCGAACCAGTTAACACCAAGTTTTAAGCCTGAAGCTTCTGCAGCTGGTGTGTTCCACCGCCTGCTTACTCAGCATGCCCAGAACTGGGGTCATGCCCCCTGCTCACACAGCGCTGGAGGCCGCATTGTCTGTGCCCCCCGCAGCCAGCCCAGCACTCAGGATGATCACCTGTCCCCAAATCCCAGACTCCACCTTCCTGTGTGTCACGGAAAGTCAGTCACTGGGGACAGTCAATGGAGTGTTGTCCAGTTCTCCTGAGCTAGTCACATTCATTAAGTACAGAGCGCAAACTGAATCACAAAAGAAATATGAATTACTATCACAGGAGACTTTGGGGAAGTTTCCGTAGCATTGAGAGGCTCACGTAGCCAGCTGACATACACATTACTACTTCCCACACAATCAAATTACGGATAAGTTTGCTAACCTAATAACTAAAGTGGTAAATGTAAAAGGATCAGATCAAATGTTAAAGTCCTTCCCTTATCAGAAAGGCTATAAACTCTGAAACAGCTTTCTACTGAGTATACTGCAAACCATTGGAAACTGTGATGCACAGAAAGGAACTACACGAAAAAACAGGAAGCAAGAACATGGCTGCAAAAGCAACAAGTTTTCTTCCCCTAGACAGATGTGATTAAGTAAATACCCCACCTAACACCTACTTGGGGTTTTATAATCAGTTACACACAGAAAATGATTTCCAAATTCAG